ACCTCTCTCAGACTTCCAAGAGGCTGACGGCAAATGCATGGGCCTCTCCTTTCATTCAAGTGGGCAGAAGGAGGGGGATGGGGTTGCAGGGGCAGAGCTAGGTTAGGTCCTCCAGCCTGGCAGTGCTGCAAATCCCAGGCTGGGAAACCCAAGCGGGCAGGAGCTCGGGGTGGAGCAGCTGAGTCCCAGGGAAAGCGGGGGCTGCCTCTGTCCTCTATCACTCACGCTTGGCCTCGGGCTCAGGGTTGCAAACAGAGCCCTCTCAAATGGCCGTGGGAAGCACTGGAGACAGAAGAGCCCAGGGTGAAGAGGAGGGAGGGAAAGAGGAAAGGGGAAAATGAGGAGAGCCCCAGGAAGTGGCAGCTCCAAGAGAGCAGGAGCTTAGGTGCCAGGCCACAGAGGAGCACAGCAGGATGAGGTCACTTTGAGCCTCTGCAAACTGAAGAAGGGTTGGGCTGTGGGGAAAGGTGCTGCTCTCTCACGGTCTGTCTACAGCCTCTTTTCACTAAAGGAGAAGCTTTGGGCAAACTGCTTACCTTTGCCAAGCCACAGTAAGACGGGCTGCCTTGGTTAAACACGATCAAAGTTGACAATCTTCTCATGTAAAGAAAATCCACACAGACAGTTCTGAGCCTATACGATGGCACCCTGGTCATGGGAGACTCGGGGCTCTTTCTGTTTTTGTTTCACTATTTTGTCACATGGATTCTAGCTTCAAGTATACCTCCTCTTTCTTCCAGGACGGCTGTCAGAGCACCAACGATCTCGCCTGAATTCTAGGAGTGAATTATAAGGAAGGGATGGGCAGAAGGGCATATCAGCTGAGCCAGCGGCCTTGAATTTGTTTCCTGGGGCTCCTACCACCCCTCGGTTTATCTCCTGCACCGTCCCTAGCTGTAAGAGAGGCTGGGAAATGTCTTCTAGCTCTGAACATTGCTACCTGGAACAAAATGGGGGTCTGTTAGGAGGAAGGCAGGCAAGAACAGGTGTTGGGGTGTGATCTCTGCTCCAAGCCTCTTGGCGAGATGTTGAAGAATGATGGGAGATAATCGATGCGGAAAAGGCTCTTTGTAAACTGACCAGGGCCTGAGCTGTCTCTCTTCCCTGTGACCATCCTGTGAGGGGAAACTGAGGCTCAAGGTCAACAGCCTTAAATGGCAGAGCAGGGATCCGCTGGGGAGATCCGGAGATGGAGGTCTTCTGAGCAGGTCTGCGGCGGCACCTAGGGAGGGTGGCCGTCAAGTGCCCGCCGCCCACTCCCCATCTGCACAGGCTGGACACTGCCGTGGGGTCCTGTGGGAAGCTGAGGGCTAACCTGCGGGCCCCTGTGGGCCCCGCCTCTCAGCGTGGTCACGCTGTCCGCTTGGAGATTATGGATGCTTTTAATTTTCCCTTTTACCCAGGGCCTGGGGACCCGAGGCCTTCAGGCCTGAGTGCCCATAAATTGCACCTTATTACGTTATTAATCACCGCGTTATCTGGAGTCAAATAACTGACGCCCACGTGGGCAAGCAGAGCCCTGAAACAAATCTTCCTCTTCCTGCGCTCCCTCCCAGCCCCCACCCCACAAGGGCAGGGCCCTCTGCCCAGCAGCTCTCCATCTCCTGGGGGTTTGGGGGTGCAGAGGCCGCGCCCCTGGAAGCAGCGATGGAGACTCTCAGTCCCCGGGTCTGGAATCCCAGACAGGGCAGGAGGGGCCGGAGGGGCCGGCCAGCCTGGGGCCTGGAGGGGTTCAGCAAGGGAGTGGAGCATGGGGGACAGAGGGGCAGAGGGGCAGGGGGGCCGCCGCCGGGATTGGGGGGGCTGTCACTGACACTCAGACCCCAAATAAGAACCTCGCACAGAGAAAGCCTTATCTTGCTCCCAGTTTTTTTTTTGTTTTTTTTTTGGGGGGGGGGTCCAGTCCGTGATGGAGGGGCCCGTTGCTTTGGACCCGAGGTGGCGCGTCCTGGCACTTGGCAGGGAAAGCCACCCACCTGTCCCCTTCCAGAGCGCTCCGCGATGGGCTCCGCCCCTCCCAACCTCAGGGACCTGGCACCGAGCCCTGGCCGAGGGGACGTTGAGGGGCGCCGGGCTCCCACTCCAGCAGCGTCCACAGCCTGCGTCCCGGGGCTCCCTCAACCCCACGGCCAGTTCCTGCTCCCCAAATGGCCGGCTCAGGGGAGGGGAGGAGGGAGCCCTGGGCTTCCCGGTTCCCAGGAGGCAGCACACCCACTTTGAAAACCCAAACCTGCCCTGAAGCCAGTGGAAAGCAGGGCCCATTTACGTGGGAAGTGAAGACTTGACATCTTGCCTTTTACGGAGGGCAAAATCTCTACTTGCTGAATCACTGTGAGGCCCAAATTGCACTCAAAACCTTTGCATGGTGCCTGACGCAGAAGAGCTGTTTGACAGATGTTAGCTACATATTGTTGCCTTTGGACCCCTCCCAGGGCCTCCCACACACCATCGTGCAGGTTGTACACTGCCAGCTCCAGAAGTCGTCATGCCCCTAGAATGTGCTGGGTTTCGGCAGTGCACATCCTGCACCACCATCCATGGTATACTTGCTGAGAAGCAGACACATGCCACTTCCAGGGCATCCCTTCTGACCTTGACTGGCAGGTGTCCTTGCTGTCCTTTTACTTGCTCTTTCCCCAACTTTAAGTCATACCACTGGTGGAGAACCTACGTGGTGTCGGCACCTTGGAAGGCAGTGTGGACCAAAACTCCACCGGGTGGGCTTCCTTTCATCCCTCTCTCAAAGTTGGCGTAGCCTTTGATCTCCCTGGTTGGGTGGCTGATGTTTGAGACAAAGCAGGCTGTGTGCGGTGACCTGGCCCTCGGCAGAGCCTGATGCTTGGGAGCCTGGGTGGGCTGAACCGGCTTCAGTTAGGAAAAGGGGGTGGGAGACCCCTGGGCTTCCCCCCTCCCCCCCGGAGACCGCTGTTCCTGCCTCTGCTCCTTAGATCTCAGGCATTTCCCAGGTGAGCCGGCGGGGCGGGGACAGAGCACTAATGACACTTCACCGACACCAGGTCCTGGGGTTTGCGGACGAAGCCGCGGTGGGCCACGCTGGACAGCGCGGTAGCCGGTCGGTGCTGCCTGCGGTCAGGCGCCCGCGGTGTAAAAGCTTGGTCCGAACTTCCCCTGGTTATCTGCCAGAGAGCGGACGGGGCAGCTTTTCACTCGCCAGAGCTTTGCATAAGACGCAGGATAAAACAGACTCACAGCCAAATTTGAACACCTCGGCTTCAGCCCTCTTTCTGAAAAGAGTTTTTGTTTGGCTTTTAAAAAAATATTGCGTTATTGTTTTGTCACTGAGATGATTCAGACTTACCAAAATAAATATCAGATAATGCCATGAACAACTGTGGACCCAGTATGCAAGTTAAAAAAAATGCAATATCAGTAAAGGTGTTGAAAATGACCAGTGAAAGCGGATCCTTTCTCTTTTCTCCCACCCAATGCATTACCACCATCTTCAAGTTGATCTTTATATTTCACACATTTTTTTTTTTTTGGTACCAGGGATTGAAACCAGGGGTACTTAACCACTAATCCACATCCCCAGCCCTTTTCATAGTTTTTATTTTGAGACAGGGTCTACTAAATTGCTTAGACCCTTGCTAAGTTGCTGTGGCTGGCCTCAAACTTGCAATCCTCCTGCCTCAGCCTCCTGAGTCGCTGGGATTACAGGCATGCCCCATGATGCATGAACAACTTCATGCTATTTTAAAAACTCTTTATGTTGAAATGATTGTCAGTTCACAGGCATTCATAACAAGTAGTATAGAAATCCCATTTCCATTCAGTGTACCATCCTGCATACTGCAGCGCAAAAATCACAACTAGAAACTGACGTCAATACCACCATACTTTATTCAGATTTCCCAGTTTTTGCATGCACTCAGGCGTGTGAATCTAGCTCTGTGCAATTTTGTCTCATTTGCAGGCAGCGTGATCGGCACCACCATCAAGGCACAGAGCAGCCGCCCCACCAGGGCCTCCTCCTCTGCCACTGCTGCCTCCTTTCCCTCCTCCCTCACTGCCAGCAGGTGCTCATCCACCCTCTGCTTCCATGATTTTGACATTTCAAGTTTCACAAATGGAATTAGTGCACAAATGAGACAGGCGTTTTTATGAGGCATAATATGCTTGAGGCGCACCTACCCTGTGGGGTCATAGTTTCTCATTTTACTGTTGAGTCAGATTCCGCTCTAGGCCGTGCCCCAGCTCTATAACCACCCACGTGGAGGATTTGGAGTGCACCCAGTCTGGGGATGTTATAATTAAAGCTCCCACAGACAGTAGGGTAGAGGTTCTGTGATGGTGTTTTCACTTCTCCAGTGTCAATATCATAATTCCTGGGGTGTACCGTGAGCGTGTGTCACTTTGAACCGTGGTGGTGCTGATTCACCTGTTGAAGGGTATTATCTCACTGTGTGCACATTCTAACACTCTCTCCTCTCTCCATGTACTCCTTCCTCTCACCCTTGTTGGTGTATATATATATATATATATAATCTCTTTGTCCTGTTGCGTAGTGCTCCACTGCGTGGATGTTCTGCCTCATATGTCTCCTTTCTAACTCCTGATTTTGGAAGGCATGAAATCTTTACAAAGGAATGGATTTGGTGGGCAAAGAAATATCTCATCTTCCTGGATTTAGAATGGGGAGAGACTTAATTGGTCTACAAGACAATAGCTGGTGGTTTATTCTTAGTTCTAGGTTACCTTGGTCACGTCACTTAACCTTTCTGAGCTCAGCTTTCTCATCTGTAAAACAGGGATCTCAAGAATAATGATAATAATAATAATAATAATAATAACAACACTTGCCTTAATACTTGAGGGAATTAAATGAAAATATAGAATATGAACTCAATTAAAATATGCTGAATAAGTGTCAGAAGCACTGACTAGTTAATCATTATAATTAATACCCATTTTTTGCCAATGGAATCAACAACTAAACTACACATTCTGGATTTTTCATGGGAAATTCAATATCAAATTACCTTCCCTCCTAAGTTGCCTTGCCACAGCTGTCCTGCTTTGGGAGTCAGGATGCGCCATGAGCAGTGTCAGGGTACCATGGGGGCCCTCGTAATGGAGAGGGGGAGCTGGTCCAGCTGGGAAGGGGCACTGCAGCAGGAAGGGACAGCCAGAAAGGTTGCATCAGAGTAACTCAGAGAGACCCTGTCTCTAAATGAAGTAAAAAACAGGGCTGGGGCTGGGGCTCAGTGGTTGAGTGCCCCTGAGTTCAATCCCCAGTACTAAATAAATAAATATAAAAGGAGTCTTTAAATACACATGGGTGGACGGGCTGAGCAGCAGCCCCAGGGGGACATGACAACAGTCTCCAAATATATAAAACCTGCGAGTCCTGGGGAGGAAGGGTTTTTTACCCCCAATGAGGAGGGCTGGGGTGGCTGGCGAGGAGCATGGAGTAGGATGCAGGAGGAGACTCCAGCGCAGGCCCAGGCCCACTTCCCCCTGCTGTGCCTCGGTTTCTCCTCCCCTGCAGCACAGGGGTGGGACCCGTTCTCCAGGGCCCTAAGGTGCCACCCAAGTCAACAATAGAAATAGTTTCCATGTCCAGCTGCAGTGTAGTGTGGGTCCCTCGGGAAGCAGAGAAAGTGTCCTGGGAACAGGGTGCAGGACAGGAGCAGAGGCAGCTCTGCCAGGGCGTTGCCTGGAGCCCTCCTGGGTCCTGGCCCCGCCATCACCTGCAGGGAGCACCAGAGCAGAGCAACCAAAGCTGACAGTCCAAGCCACATCTGGTGACATTTGAGAACTGTGGGGTGCCGGGAAGACCCCACAGTGAGGAAGCCACCCCACCTGCAGGGTGACAGGGAGGACATGATGAAAGGTACTTTCAAGACAACAAAGCCCAGAAAACCAGAAAAGCAAGGGAGGGTTGGGAGACCTCCAGCCAGGTGGGGCCTCGCCCCAGCCCCCCACCTCCTCACCTGTCTTCCTTTAACAGCGTATTAGCTAGGATCCACACAGCACATCATCCACCGTTTAAAGTGCACAATCCAACAGGTTTCATATTCTACATTATTATTTTTTTAATTAAGGCAAAATATCGATAACACGGAATTTGCCTTCTTAACCATTCCGTGAAGCTGATCAGACTCAATGGTCTTACGACCATCCTGACCGTCTGCCCAGGAGCTTCTCGCCACCAGGACAGACAGGAGTTCTGCTTCCAAGAAGCCAAGGTTCCCGGTTCCTCCCTGCTCCAGGCGCTCTGATTTACTTTCTCTGTGAATTTGCCTGTTGTAGATCATTCGTGGAAGTGGGATCCTGCAATGTTATCTTTTTGGGCCTGGCTCATTTCACTTAGCGTAATGTTCTCATTGTTCGTCGATATTGGAGTCTGTATCAACACTTAATCCTTTTATAGCTGGACTCTGCAATTTTTTTTTCATAAAAAGTACATTTTTGATACTGCTATATGCATTTTTAAAAACTAATTCCTATCATTCTTTCTCCCTATATAAGGTGAGTCGTCTCAGTGTCTCCATTTTATAGGATAGGGCACAGAGGGGTCAAGTGTCTTGTCTAAAATTACAGAGCCAGCCAGTGGGGGATCCAGGCCTGCAGCCATGGCCAGGGTCTCCACATCCTCCAATCCCAGGCTCCTCTCCCCCACTCCCTCCCTACACCTGGTCCTCCACTGTGGAGCCCTGTGTTCCTTCAGGGTCTGTGAGTTCAGAAAGCTGGCTCTCTCTCTCTCTCTCTCAGGGTGCAGAATCAACCAATCTGCACTTGTTTGCCACCTGGTCCTCTGATATGCCTTCCTTGAAGTCCCAGAGTGTGATGGCAGACCCGGAACACCAGACAGGCCAGGAGAGGCCTGTAGCTATGGGAGGGGCGGGTAGGAAGGTATGGCCTGGATGCAAACCCAGCTACCAGGTACCATTAGTCCTCAACAGTCAGGCCCAGCAGGCCTTGCTGGGGCCTGGCCCAGGAAGACAGAGCCTTCAGAGGTCTTCTAGGCAGAGTTTCGGATAGAAAATGAATAACTCTGGACCCACCACCTTGATGGAGAAGTAAAAAGGAGGTCCCTCCCCTTCCTGGCCCTGAGCCTGATCACCACCCCCCTTACACACACACACACACACACACACACACACACACACACACACACCCCGCTCCATCCTGACCCCTCGTCCTCCTCATTCCCAGATCTGGACAGTACCTGCCCCTCTGCCTGCACCTCTGTCCCCATGCCACCAGACAGGCTCACACAAAGTGTTACCACATACGTCCCAGGTCCACAGACCCCCACCCAAACCTGTGGATGAGCTCTGGGGTTCAGACAGGCTCAGATGTTAGGACAGTGACGTGATGCCTTGCCCCTCTCCAGTGTACGGGCCCAGCTTGGCCTGGGGCAGCTCCTGCTGTCAGGCACATTAATGTGCTTCAGAGTGAGGCATGAATATTCACGCCAAGTGGGATAAAGAAAACACTATAAATAGCGAGGCTCCCGCAGGGTTTGCCTCCAGATGAGCTGTGCAACCACTCTGTTTTCTGGGCTTGTGTTCCAGACCTGCCAATGAGGAAGGTGCAGCCTGACCCAGGTGGGCCTGCCTCCTCCCACACCTGGGCTATGCACCTCCCACTTGCCACCTCCCGACAGGCCCACAGCCTCACCTGCTGTCACTCAGCACCTCTTGCAGCCGGCTCCTCTACTACGTCCTCACCTCCTCCACGACCTTCCTGACAGGTCTTGACTGTGCCAAGTCCCTTGCCCACATCCACCATGAGCTCCTCCCAGGCACCAGGCCCGTCCACCAGCCAGGCCTCTCATTCTATAGGCTCCTCCCAGCTGAAGCTGGGCGACACTCCTCCTGCCACTTGAGGGGCGGGATGCAGACAGCATGCAGATTGAGATGAGGAGCCTCTAAGGAGGCTGAAGGAGACGTCTTGCCTGTGGGCAGTGGAGCAGTAGTGATCAGGTTCCGGCCTTCCTCCCTGTCCTCTGCTGATTCCCTGGGTGGATGTGAAGGAGTGGACTCGCCCAGGACACCGAGTGCCCAGCACATAGGCAAGGCTACTTTGGGGCCCAGGACACAACATGCAACCTGAATGGTGACAAAGGCAGACCAAGTGTTTTAGTCCACTTTTTTGCTGCTGTGACTAAAAGATCTGATCAGAGCCATTTTAGGTAAGAAAAGTTTATTTGAAGACTCACCGTTTCAGAGGGCTTAGTCCATAGAAGGCCAGCTCCATTCCCCGGGGCTCAAGATGCGGCTGAACATGACGGCGGGAGAGGGTGGCACAGAAAAGCAGCTCACGTGATGATCAAGGGGCAGAGAGAGAGAGACTCCATCCACCAGATACAAATATACACCCCAAAGCCAGCCCAATGCCCACCTGCTCCAGCCACACCCACCACTTCAGTTACCACTCAGTTCATCCCCAGCAGGTGATTAATTCACCGACCGGGTTAAGACTCACAACCCAGTCATTCCTCCTCTCAACCTTCTTGCATTGTCTCACATGTGAGCTTTTGGGGGGACACCTCACATGCAAACCATAACACCAAGCTTTTATGCAAATTATAGGAGGTCCCCTCAGAGGCCCGTGGTTCAGCAGTAGGGAAGCTCAGCCTTAAATGGTTTGGGGGGCGACCAACATGAGACTTGTTGAGTGGAAATCTCAGAGGACTGATGAGAGCCTCCCAGAAGCACTGGGGTGTCCTTTGAGAGAGTTGACCCTTGGTGTTTTGCAGATGAGGAGCAACACCCAAATAAGGGACCTGCCATCTTTCTCGTAAAGGACTGGGAGATGGGGCTTTCAGGGCCTCTGTGGAACTGCACTGGCTGGAGCCCCCCGAGCCTGGTTCTCCAGAACCCTTGGGCCTGTGGCTGTGGGATCCTCCCAGGCCGTGAAGAGGCCACCATCACGCTGGAGCAGGTGCAGGAGGGAGCGTGGCCTCACCTCACAGCCTTGGGGTGGCTCGGGAGTGGAGAGGAGGCGAGGGGAAGATCATTAGGAAGAAAAAATGACAAATAAAGATAAACGGAGAGGAATAACTATGGGAAGCGCCTGCTTGGCTGCTCCCCCTCCCCATTTCCCTAGAAGATCAAATTATGACCTGAAATCACTGGATACATATTTTATTATGTGGATAATTTAAAGGATTAGAGTGAGACAAAGAATTCATAAGCTGTAGTCACATTAGAAGACAAATTGTTTCCATTAATCTCTGAAGAAGGGAGGGGAGGAGAGCAATGAGGGAACGTGCGTGAGTGCGTGAGCCAGAGCCAGGCAGGCCAGGGAAGTGTGGCCAGGCTCGCTCCTGGGGGGGGGGGGCTTGCAGCCCCACCCTGGCACGCAAGGCTCTGCTCCAAATAAGGCCGATTTGCATTGCAGATTGATCTCAGCTGCCTTTGCTTCAGTTGCCAACCAGAGAAGGTTTAAATAACATGTATTGTTCTGAGTGATTCCTTATGCAAATGTTTCTGGCCTGTTTGTTATTCCTGAATAATTTCCAAGGCCTCCTGTCTGTGCAGAAGAAGCAGCTCACTGTGCCAGCTGTGCCAGGAGTCACCTGCCAGCACCAGGGGCACTAAGACAGGGTTTTATCCCCCACCGCCCCCCATTCTGAAAGGCGGGCAATTTTGTCTCAGGGAGCAGAGTCTACAAGCCCCACCTTGTTTGGGTTCTAGGCTCAAGGACTCCCTGGAATCCAGTCTAGAGGTGGGAGTTACAGCAGAGGGAACCCAGGCCCAGAGAGGGAGCCCCACTGTGCACAGGGGCGGGCTTCCTCTGTTGAGTGGCAGGGGTGCCCCCGACAAAGGCCACTGTGAGGCCCAGCACAGGCCTGCGGAGCAGGAGTGAAGGCCCGGGTAAAGTGAAGGACCTCAGGCACCCTCTGGGTACCCTCTTTTTGCTAGGAACAGGGCTAGAAAGTGAGGACACAGAGCAGACCCCACTCAACAAGCCAGTGCTCCGGAGCTGAGGCTGGGCACAGGAACAAGGTGCCTTCAGGGCTCCCCTCTCTCTTCCACCCCCTGAAACCCGAACGAACATGCTGTTTTCTCCATTCTTAACACATCCTCATGAGACCAGGACCGAGGCCAGTAGCCGGTCATCAAAGGAAAGGACGGGGCAGATGGCATTTCTCCTGGGAGGGTTGCTACCGCCTCTGGGGGAGAGGAGGGATCTCACTTTCCAACACCATCACCCCTGGGGCTCCTTCCTGACTTCAGGTCACATGGGCATGAGAAGAAAGGAACCTGGAACTAATCACAGGGGCAGGACACCCCCACTCGCTTGGCACCAGCTCTGGACCCCTCCTTTCTGGAGGAGCAAGTCTCTCTCTCTCTCTCTCCTATCCCTTAAGTAAAACTTATTTTCCCAGGTGTTTAGTCTTCACCACCAAGGAAGGAGGATTGCATCCTGATTTTCAAGCCAGCATCACTTACAACGGCCTCCCACCTTTGGACCCAGGGCCAGCATGTGGCCAGTTGTTCAGGCTGCCCATGGAGCCCTAGAGAAGACCACTGCGCTCCATCTCTCCCTGGCTCATTCACTTGTTGGCAATTCATTCATTCACTAAACACAGTTGCCCCCAACGGTCATTGCCAAATGGGGCAGGTTTCAACGTGTGGGCGCTGAAACCACCAGACCAGGCTGCAGCCTCCGCTCTGCATTCTGCCTCTGTCGAGCACAACCTGAAACTCCTCAGGCCTCGTTTTCTTCAACTGCAATGCGGGCTGCAAGTTGGTCCAGGATTATGGAATACATGGACAGTTGCTAGCACAGAACCCGCTACCTGACAATCATTCCAAAATGATCATTTTGGAAAAAAGGAGAAAGGAAACCTCTGCCGGGCACTGGGTGAACAGAGACCCGCAGTGCCCGCCTGGTCCCGGCCTTCCCCTCAGAGCCCGGGACACGTGCGGCTCGCTCGAGAGACAGCATTGGCTGAAAAACTCTGGGGGTGACTGGCATCACCAAGAGGCCACAGTGGAGCACATCTCAAGGAGGAGGGCAAGTCCTCCGGGCAGACCAGGGACGGGCCTCCTGAAGAGCAGCGAGTGTGTGAAAACTCAGGCGCAGAGCAGCCGAGCCCATTCCTGAGTCCTCAGCGGGCGTGCGGCCTTGGGAAGAGCGTGGTCCCAGGCTTCTCTCCTCCTTCAGCTCCCACTCCCTGGAGCTGGGATCCCCCACAGCCCCACAATGATCCCAGACTGTGCGGACAGTTGAGTGACAGGAGTTCACCCTGGCTGGATCCTATGCTTGAGAATCATCGTAATTAGCATAAACATTTCCTTTAAAAATTAATGGTAAGTTAAAAAGCATGAGTCATTTAAAATATATTAAGTAAATAATTTTGCAGGCCATGCTCAGAGACTGTAAGGTCCCTAGGAGAAGACATGTGAGTGGCTGACATTCAGAGGAATCAGGGCTCACCCATAAACAGTCTGAAGAGAGGAATCTGAGGCTACGAGAATGGGAAGGTAGACAGACAGACACCCTCCCAGGCCAGGCCTGAGAGTCCTGGTGTTGGGGTTGGGCTGGAGTTGGCCTCATTCACCGGGCATCCCTGAGCCTGCAGCAGCAGTCCACGTTCCTTCCTGTGGAGGTCGGAGCTCACGGGCTTCCTGTGGGATTCTCAGCAGACTAGAGCTGGCCCCTCCTGGCACAATCTGCTCTGCAGCCTTTCCTGGGTCACTGGAGTTGGGGGCCTCGGGAGCATTTTGCAGAGCAGATTAAATTGCTGGTGATGGGCATTCCATCTTCAGAGCTCAGGCCCTCTGAGGATGGTCCCCAGACTCCTGGCACTCGCCAAAATGTGCCGCTCCCAGGGCCCGTCAAAACCTCCAGGAAAGAGCAGGGAGTCTTCAAATCCAGGTTCTGCTACACTTCCCTCCACCCGCTGCCTCTCACCTGGAGGATGTGCAAAGGAGCGCGGCTTGCTGCAGCAGTCATGAGGACTAAGGAGTGGGGACTTGTGGGGCTCTGAGCACCATCCTCTGCATAGTGAGGGGCAATAGCTTGTGTCCTGGCAGCATCCCCAGATGAGACCCAGAAACCTGTGTTTGTATCAAGCACCTAGTTAGCTGTGATTTGTACCAAGTTTGGGAACCACTGCTCTCAACTATGAGGTTCTTAGTTCCACTGCTCTCTGCCCTTCGTCTTCCAGATGCAGAGCTTATGTGCCTGCTGTTGGGCCCGCCTCTGGTGGCCACTTCTCCTGTTCCTTTGGAATTATGGGGACAATTGAGTGGTGGGATCTATCCTGTCTCTGCTGAGGCCTATGCAAAATCACTAGTCTGTCTCCCACTGCCAGTTCTTTTCTCTAAATTACAGCAAGCTCACCACTGAGATGGACCCCATGGTGACATTTGAGGACAGAAACAAGAAAAGAAAATTACACACAATGGAAACCAGAGCTGACTGCTAAACCTGCTTCCTAGTGTGAAGTTGGATCAAGATCCTGTGATGTTCCCATACGAGTATCTCAACAATTCAACTCATTTCCACAAGCACAGTGCACAGGGGCACCTAGGGCGTTGAAGGTCACTAACCAAGGTGAGTTGAGACTCCTGAGTGTCCACGGGGTCCCAATGAAAGCAGCGATTGTGAAGATGATCATTATGGCTCTTAATAGGATCGTAACAATGATATCCCCAGATCCACTTCTTTCTCAAGGAGCCTCCTCTGAACCTCCTGGGGTGAAGCGGGTGGGACCTGGTGCTCTTCTTCCTTGGCTAAAGTGAAACAGGACTAATCACTGGGGTGCTGAGGAGGGGGACAGGGAGGGCAGCAATCTGCCTGGCTCTGGGGGGGGCAGCCAGGGGCAGGGCAGGTATCTCCACAGAGCAGCTGATGAGCCCTGGGCAGGGTCCCTGCTTTCTCTCCCCCATGTCCCAGTGGATGGCAGACCACCCAGAACCAACGGCATTCACTCCTGAAGACTTTCCTGAGTGTCTGTCTT